ACTCTGAAACACCCATAAACATCACATCCTTTGGATTTTTCCCAGAAAATCTATCATGTAAATATAAATCAGTCCACAGGTTGCCAGAAGCAACCCAGGAAGCTGAGGAAGGTCTCAGCTTTTAAGTCGCAGTTAAGTAAAAATGTAACACAGAGTACCTTTAATGCATTCATAACAATAATACAATTATAATATATAATAACAGTCACAGGGGACATTTTTCCATATTTTTGCATACTTTGACCTAAGTAACACTTGCAATTCAGGACTAAATGTAAAAGAGTATTTTTACAGTGTGGTATAAGTACTTTTGCTCAAGTAAAGGGTCAAAATACTTCCCCACAGGTCATGCTTCTACTTTACCTTGTATTTAAATTTGCCTTTTCGGGGACACAAGACTATTTCAAGTAGGCTGGATTTAATTATAAAATATCAATTAATCAGGTTATACTAAGCTAGAAAAAAAATCACTGGCTTTAAGCTATACCAATTTGTAACAATTTGGTAAACTTACCCTGTAGGCGTTATAACGTCCGGCGTTTGGATACGTTTTAGATTTCCTCCAAATCTGCCCAGAGGAAGCTTGGAAGTCTTCCAGCCACGTGTGAACTTCCTCTTCTGAGGTAATTCTCAATTTAATCTGTGTCCTAAACTGAGACTCCGTCGTCTCCTCAAAGGAGCACACCAAATAAACGTATCCCTCAGTTTACAGTTTTTGAAAGAAAACAGCATTTTCATAAATCCCTATACCCAGCTATCTCCTCTCACTAAAACATCAGTCTAACGTTTGCTTAAACTTTTAGCTAAGGGATAAAACCCACTATGGTTACCATGTTAGCTAGCATCCAGTTAAGTAGCTATCATCTTTTTATCTATTACTGTATCTGTCAAACAAACTTAACACTAAATCTTGATTTTCAAAAGTGGACAGTCTCCTGTCCCTGGATCTCCCTCTGTCATGTTCAATCTAAATGTTGGCATCACAAAGTTGACAAATAAGGTAGCTATCTGATTAAACCAATGTGTAACAAGTTTTATTTATCTTCACAGAAGAAAGCACCAAATGAGGTTCCAAATGAAATCAGTTCTAGTGGAGCGCAAAAACGGGGCAACCAATAACATTTTGTTTCCGTTGCCATCCTTGAATTAAAAATAAAAAAAAAAATAAAAAAAAGAAGAAGAAAAAAATTGCATAGGCCACATCTTCATAGCTCCTGTTTCCAGTGTATCCATGGATGTACATACAGCTATCACAAAAGTACTGGAGTTTCAGTATAAGGAGTGTCCTTTCTCTATCATTTCTGAGGGGATTTATCGATAGTTATTAGCGATGGACTTTAGAGATAATGATATCCTGTCATGTTTGAAGCAAATTGTGATAATCAGGTGCTAAAGGTTTAAAGTACCTTAAAGGGCCAGTGTGTAATATTTGGCATGGTTTATTGTCAATCTGAATCTGAATCTGAATATTCTACCCATTAATATGTTTATACAAGTGTATAATCGCTATAAAATAAAATTCGTTTGGTTTTCGTAGCCTTATAATTATGCTTTTATATACAGTACAGGCCAAAAGTTTGGACATACCTTCTCATTCAATGCGTTTTCTTNTATGTATAGCAAGGGCCTTGCTTTAGAGAGGTCGCCATCTTGCGCCACCATGTATGTACGGCAGACCAAGCGGACAATCCAGCCAGCCAGAGAACGCGTTTCACGTGTAAAAATGAACCAACGAAGACAGTGGGAGGAAGGAAGAAGGAGGAGGAAACAGCAGAGAGTGTTAGTAGTTCGTAGATAGAGAGTAGTGAAAAGTTTTTTTAGTTATAAAGTTTGCGAATGGACCACACTTACCACGCAACGGGAGAGAATGAACCCGAACCGTCATCTGCGAGGAAAAGAAGACGCAACTTCACTCCTTGTGATGCACTCTCTGTGGCGCTTTTCCTCCTGATGATATATCTCCCCAACGATGGTAGCACCGAATCCCATTCTGTGCATTCAGCCTCTCTTCTCGCCCGCTCAGCATCAAACACATGGAGTTCCTCATCTGTATGCTCCAGCTCAAACAGGTATGGCTCTGGGTCTGTGTCCGCTACAAGAAACTCTTCAAAATCCCGTTCAAAGTCATCCATTGCAGCTACGATAGTCCGGAGATATCGCTAGGCTAAATAAACAGCTGAGCTCTGTTTACCGGCTACGCTGTCAGTCAGTGGCTGGAGATTGGTGGAGCAGAGGGGGGAGGGGGTACCCACTCGGTATGGTATACGAGTATATGTGTATGGAGTGTGTGTGTTACGCTAGAAGAGTCAGAGTTTGGGACGGAGCCTTTTACCCCCTGGAGTGTTACCGGAGTTTTTGGAGTGTTCAAATAAACTGGCCTTTTTCCCGAACGCTACTCTGGTCTCCTGCTCGTGAGGGATTCATTACAATATCGTAACATGTTTTAGATTTCTAAATAAACATTCACCTTGTCGCTAGATAGATCTACTCCTGAAAAACTTGTGCACAAGGCTTTTTGTCCCTACGAGGCCACCGTCATTTACCCAACGGGAGGGGTGAGTGAGTGAGCCCTGCAATCTAGAATTTGATCACTGATGTCACTGTTTTCAACCCATTTTACACACTGGCCCTTTAATACCCTCAATTAATGTGTGTCATGGCCGCTGCTGCTACTGTAAATGTGTAAGTGTACCAAGTCAGCAGCCAAACTACAACAGCTAATGCCAGGTTGACAGTGGATGAGGAACCCCCCGATTTGTTAATTGCGGCACAGCCACCTGTCAGCAGTCACCTGGCCTTTCACACCAGAAGCGCATTTCTCAGTGCCGGTCAGTAAACAATTCTGCTCTCTGCTCTGTTTAAATCACATGTAGAGTTCTGTCTGTGTGTGTCTGCATCTGCATGTGGATCTGTCTGTCTGTCTGTGTGTGTGTGATTGCATGTGTGGGGGTGTGGGTGTGTGGTTCTGTTCATCTATCTCGCTCTCTGTTTAGACACAAGTGACAAATATGTGGAAGCATGGGGTGCATATTCTACTATTTATCATTGTCAGATCATTCATTTAATATACACCTCACATCGTTAACAGTATGTTTTCACTGTGTTTTCTTGCCAGATTTGCTCACAGCTAATGGAAAAAATACACCCGGCGCTAAAACAGATCACCAGCGCTCAGCGCCACACCCCGCATCCAGCGTGAACAGTCCAATTACTCTATAACCCCTTTTCCACCAACATTTCGAGGAACTTTTATTACCAGGAATTTGTTTACCTGGGTAAAAGAATTCCTGGTAATCTGTGTGGTTTGCGTTTCCACCTCACCTCAAGTTCTGGAAAATTTATTTCAATTAGTGTGATGACGTAGATGATTCGGTGCATGTCCTGTGTTTGGCTCCGCCATCTTGGCTGGTTACGTGCTGGTAGAGAGTTGGGGCTGTTTGTCTCAGCCAGCAGCTCAGTTTAGAAGTATTTTAAGATAAGTGTCTGACTAAGTTAGTCTACATACAGATAGCTGTCATTTGAGCTTATTGCTAACAATTCGCTATCAGCTAAACTAGCGTGCTGTCCTTGTGTAAGGCATAATGTTAGTGTCGGTGGATGAGAGACTGTGGACGGAGGATACTGAATATCACTGTCTACATGTTTACATGTTCATGCTTGCTGAACACATGTATTCAATTCAATCTTTATTTCAGACTCAGTTCGGTCCATAAAACACACAACTACAAGAAACAGTAACAACAATCAGACACCATGATAAAGTATTGGCTTCTTTCTCGCTAAGGTTTAATGTCACTTACAGTAACGACTGTAGCTGCCGTCAGCATGAGTCATTTTCAAGTTATCTTCACTTTGTTTTCACCACAGCTGCTCGGCTGTTCACCTGTTACCGTGTCGCATTAGTGTGTGTAACGGTCTTTAATATTTTAGCTCCGGGGCTAATTTAGTACCGGGTTTCGGTACCCATCCTCAATCAAAACAGAAACGAAGTGAAGCTTGTAGAAATTAAATAAAGCTTGTGGCGGCTGTCCGTATCAGGAAGTGCGGAACACTGCAAGTGTGCTCCACCAATCAGTGTTCCTCTGCAAACAGCCCCGCCCCTCAAGAATTCCGGGTAATCTAAAAAGTCCTACCCCCCTACTAGGTACTTTTTCCAGCATAAATTTGGGGATGAGGGAAAGTTTTTTACCCGGGTAATTTCGGTGGAAACGCGCAGAGGTTTTTCAAAATTCCGGATAATTGATAACAGTTCCTGCGGTGGAAAAGGGGCTAATGTGGGCACTGAAAGCAAGCGGGCAGCACTCCACTGCGTCTGGTGTGAACCCGGCTTAACTTTCTGTTTCTTAAACCACACCATTTAATTTTCTTTTTCACCTCTCACAATATTTTTGCCTCACATCTGTCCCTTTTCAATTATTCTGCTTCATCATTTGAAAATCTCTGACCAATAGTAAGTGCGGCACACAATAACAGCTATTTGTACATACAGTAGGTGGGGGCTTTAATAACCCCTCTTACGATAGTAAACAAGAGGTACAATCTCGATAATGAAAATCCACTGCAAGGGTATTTAAATGATCGGCAGTAGTCAGCAGTAAATATGAACCCTAAAGACAGAAAGTCCCTAGGACACATTCAATCTGAAAACTGTTTGTACCCTTTGCTGCAGTTTCCAGGTTGGCCAACATGTTTCCTCAAAATGGTGTATAAGTATGTGCAATGGGCTTTGAGGTACTTTTTCTCTTGTTTGTTGGGTGTGTCAAAGGTGTTACCCAATAAGCAGCAACATGTATATAAACCCTGTCCTATTAAAAAGGCAGTGCGCTTGCACATTACAACATACACAACAGGGTGTTCAACTAGCATTTTGCTACGCACCCTAGGAGTCAGTGGACAACTGAAGGTTATCACGTGACCCAAGGTCTGTACTTCCATCATGTTATGACAAATGGAGAAATACTTGAACACTTTTTGATAATAGTAATACAAAGAAGCCTGACCTTGATGTTCTTTAACAGGAAGGGTTCTTTGCAGTATTTGCAGTTGAGGGTCCTCTCTGGACATTCTCTCTCGTTGTGGCGCTCCTGCTCATTGGCTCTCATCAGCTCTTTGCAGGAGGGACACAAGATGATCATGAAGTCACAGTTACCCTCATGGTTGGCCTGCAAATGACCAACAAAAAAAGCTTTATTGTTTATTAAACTTGGGTGTACCTTGAACTTGATAAATGACTGATTGTAGATTGTCACCAGAGGGTGTATGTACATACACTGAATAAAAATATATACACAACACTTTGTTTTTGTTCCCGTGTTTTACTGGCTTAAGTTTAACATCTAATATCTAATATCTAACATCCAATAACTTAATTATACACTCAATAGATTCATTCCTCTCAGACTTTGGTTGCAATGTTGTTAAAATCCACGTTAGTTAACACTTGTCCTTTTCCAAGATAATCTATCTACCTGACAGGCGTGTCAAAGTACATGATATATTACGTCAGGTTACTACACAGGTGTGCCTTGGGATGGTCACAATAGAAGGAAACTCTACAATGTGACATTTGATCTTGAAAAAGACATTTATTAGGATCTCACATAGCTAATGCTAAAGAAATGTATTTTCTAGATACAAAGACTCAAAGTCAGTATCTCCTGTGACACCATTTGTCTCATGCAGTGCAACACCAAGTTGATCAGGTTGTTGACTGTGGCCTGTGGAATATTGGCCCACGCCTCTTCAATGACTGTGCAAAGTTGTTTGATTTGTTTTGTCAGCTGACAGTTACATTGTTGCCACTGCTGGCTTGACAGATTACACACCATTTAAAACAGATTTCCTGCCTGTAAGTTCAACTGCCGTTTGCAACGGCATTTATAAACTCCAACTGGTGATATCAATCAATCGTTTCATGGCAGGGAAAGGGAACTTTGTTTTAAGTGTTTGGTTTTTTTGTTGTGGTGACAAAGATGTTACCAGTGGAAACACTGTGGAGCACAGGTTTGGCCCCTGCTTTGCTGTGGTCCTAAAAAGACTGCTGTTTTCTTCCTCTTTGGCAGTTTTGGCAGCGCCTATCCCAGTGCACTGAGCTTCTTATGATTGCACCACCACATCAGCATTATGCCACAAATGCAGTTACAAATGAGAGAAATCCAACAAGTGCAACACTTGTTAGACAACAGTGTTTTCCATGGGGCATCGGTGGCTTAGTGGATAGAGCAGGTGCTCCGTGTACAAGGCTGTTGCCGCAGCAGCCCGGGATCGAGTCCAGCCTGTGGCCCTTTGCTGCATGTCATCCCCTCTCTCTCGCTCCCCCTTTTACACTTGGCTGCCCTATCCACTGAAAGGCAAAAATGACCAAAAACATACAGTACAGGCCAAAAGTTTGGACACACCTTCTCATTCAATGCGTTTTCTTTATTTTCATGACTATTTACATTGTAGATTCTCACTGAAGGCATCAAAACTATCAATGAACACATGTGGAGTTATGTACTTAACAAAAAAAGGTGAAATAACTGAAAACATGTTTTATATTCTAGTTTCTTCAAAATAGCCACCCTTTGCTCTGATTACTGCTTTGCACACTCTTGGCATTCTCTCCATGAGCTTCAAGAGGTAGTCACCTGAAATGGTTT